GTCCATAAGTGCCTCTATAAAAATATGGGGACAGAGTCAGGTATCCTATATGTTCCGCGTTATGGGCACGTACTGGTGGCAGTGTTCGACGCACGGAAGATCTAAACGCGTAAATTGTATTTCTGTCAAGTGATAATTTAGAGCACATGCAATTAAAGGAATTGCATCTGTTGATGAAGAATTGCCTCACGATTGCAAAAAATATGATAACTCTGAAAATATCATTTTTTTATAATTTTGAAATTTATGTCTTTTACTTTGAAATGATCTTCTAATGTATTATAAACGGTAGTAAACGAAAAAGATGTAATGATGCTATTGTAGACTATTTCGGGTAGGAAAAATCAATCAAAGGCCGACAACTATTTAAAAACTGGATACGGAGGAGGTTTAATGTTTTCAATGACAATTCTCAGTGCAGACTCTCCCGCATCCTCTCTTACATGCTATTTTATCAACTTTTCGGGACTCCGAGAAGGGAGGAAACATGGGGTGGGGAAAGTGTGATGTTCTACGAAAATGGAAATTCCCACTTTCCCCTGCAGCGGTCATCCGGCCCAAAATCGTTGACCGGTGACCCATCCGTCCCTCAATTTACAAATTACCGTAGCAGTAATAAACCCAAGGATCGCCTCGACTTTTCAAATTACATGTACCGAAAAAAAGAAATACAACTACGCCAACCCTGGGCTCAATGTGTCTACCAAATGTTAAAACGGACAAGTAACGGTTCCTTGGCCTTTTATTACTGCTATGTCAAACCTTCAATATTACAAAAGATCCTAAAAATCTAACATTATATCTACACTATGTATTATAAAATCGAAACGGATATCAGTATTTTTCAGCGCATATTTTGTAAAAGTGACATAGTTTTAATTTAATTGAAAGTAAAGTCAACAGGATTATCAAAATGTTCCGCGCTGCTACTGATGCAACCATACGGTCCCATGCCTGTAGGTTAATTCGTAAATCTAATGTAGGTACAAGATTTGATATTTCATGCGCGAAATTTTTCCATATTCTATAACCATATATGTACATCAGAAGGTTGTATTAATCCAGTAGCGATTTTTTAATGCTTAAATCTGTCAAAGTTTTATTCGGCGACATGATATTGCTTATCAAAATTTAAAAAAATTAAAAAATGATTAAAAAAGTGATATTTTCAGAGTAACCCAACCGAACAATATATATTTTATAATCGTGAAGCAATTCTTAATTAACAGATGTTATTCCTTTAATTGCATGTATTCTACATCATTATGAAGATATTACACTTCGCACAAGTACAATTTACGTGTTAAGATCTTCCGTGCGTCGAATACTGTCACCAGTACG